CCTACCAAACTAGATTGTAATAATGTTCCCTGCAATTTTACATTGAAAAGAAAAACTTACACCTGACATTTATTAAATGAGAGTTGTGCTGTTTAAAGTTAAAGATTATTGAGAAGAACATTAAAATGCAACTTCACACACCTCAATTTTTAAGCAGTTGCAAAACATCACAAAATACTCTCTTCCACCTCATTGCTTTTTGTCCAGTGGTGAAGTAAGCCAACAGTTGGTCATTGCGATCAACACCACCCATGTATTTGTTGTACCCACTGATGGGCTCAGGCTTATGGGGCAAGTCATCTCCAACAGCATTGCCATGGATTGTGGNCAAAAGGCCAACTCTATATAGGTTTATTACACTAGATGTATTCTCGTTGAGGTCTACAGTGAAACTAAAAACTGCAGCATGCGTGAAAACTAAAAACCTAGAATATTAAACAAGATGCACATTATACTAAACGCACAGGAAAGTAACACAAAACAAATTCCCAAAGGAACACTAATGAACCCAAAATAAAAGAGAGTGCTAGATTCTACATTACGGTCCTTTAAGTTCAGGTGAGACTCAACAAACTGCTTGAACTGACTTATGCTAAAGGAATTCAAGGACCAAATCTCCAACTCATAAGCCAGGACCTTTTGTTAGGGCTTTCTTGGTTCTTTCAATAACTGACATGTTTTTGATGAGCTGATTAGAGAACCCAAACACAGGGGAAGGGGTGGTATGAGGTCTCCTCTTGCTCTTGCTTATTCCTGCAAGGAATCATTTAAAAATTGCTTACAAAATTTCTTGATCAATGACTTATTGATTGAAAAAATGTTGTCGGAAGGAAAATATTGATCATAAGCAATATGACTTTATGGAATGATGGGAAGTGTAAAAAGGTGTGTGCGAGATCATGAGTGTTCAAAATTTCTTCCTTGGGGCATTACATGATCACCAGTCAGTTTCCTGAAGTGGTGATTTAGAAAAAACGTGAAAACTGCCCATGCCTTGGGTAAAATTATGTTCAAATTACACTTAAATGTGAATAATACTAGACATCTTTGAAAGTGTGGACTTCAGCTTCTAAATGCATTTCAATTTAAGACAAATTTTCTTTAAAGTGGTATTACGATCAAACTTTTTTAGGTGCTTCACATAGAATTCCATGAAAGAATAAAAACGCCATTTACCATTTGTAATTATCTGCATTAGTTCCGGAGATATTTAAGTTTGAAAAATGTGTAAAATATGCAAATGAGATGATCAATGACGTCACACACTCAACCCAATATTATCAAGTATATAAGTAGAGCTATCTTGGCCAATTTTCAGCACAGACCATTGAAACTTGGTAGGCTAATAGTTCTGCAGGAAACACACCTATGGCGATAAAAAATTCTGTTCCCATTACAACTCACTCTTTTCCAGTCCCCACCCACTTGATTTCAATATGTTAGTGATTTTCAGCTTGAAAAACATTAGGCGAAGCCTCAAACTTGAGCTAACATATTTATATTCTTGCTGGATCATGCATATGAGGCACAATTAGCAAATATCAAAATGGAATGCCAAAGGTTACCAGAAAAGCTTTAAATATTGGAGAGAACTGGAACCCAGTATGTTGCCATGGTAACAAAACTGTTAAGCTCATATTGTGGAGCACATTCAGTAGAATCTTACTGCAAAGAATCAAACATTTCTGTTACAAATTGGCTGAGATATCATTCATCATATCTGATCAAAATTTGGTTGTGTGTGACATTATACTCGGCTAATTTGCATATTTTAAAAAACTTGAACATCTCTGGAACAAAAAGAGATATTCGAAAATAGTAAACAGCATTTTTCTTCTCATACAGACTACTTGTTTATGTTTTAAAATGGCTTAGGTAGGAAAGATGCGATTTTCATTATAGCACCACTTTAACATTTCTTTCATCCACCCATCCTTTGTTGAGACTGGATTTGCTATTTGATTCTTGGATATAGTGATATAGTTATATTGAGTTTATTTAGATTTCCTTGTTTTGTTCCATTTATTCAGTTTACTCAAATACCTATTGGTGACTCAATATATGCAAGGTAAGCATAAACCAGCTTTTGACTATAAACAAGACACATATCTGCGTGAACTTGTGCTTGTTTCCTGGCATATCCAGCTGTGAATGCCAGAATTTTGACATGATGAAATCTCAGTTGTCTTTTGTTGATTGTTTTACAGCTGTAGCATAGTACAAGCAAGTAAGCATTGTATATCCCTGGTCTAAATTTTACCCTCTGTCCATTGTTTACCCCTGGTCTGTAGTCTGCATTTTACATTGACCAATTAAGTAATAAATATTAGAAAGTAATAAAGGTTCTGACAGTAAAATCCGAATTTTCAATCTATTTGATTGCATTTGTGTCCATCTATCTGGCCAAAAGGATAGCAAAGTGGTTAGGGATATCTTGTGTTGGCTTCATTCCCTCTTGCAAAGGGTTTTGTGTTTTGAAGAAATGGGAATTCTGATGGAAATTGGTGTTTTGTGGGAATTCGTTTTTGTCAAGGTTTTTGAATAAAGAACAATGTTTATTAAACAAATACTGATAAATTCTGCGCTATGTTAAATTGAATTGTTGTTTTTCTTTGTGAATGTCAAAAAATAATTGTCTTTTCAAAGTATATGATAAAAAGTGATATCCCAATATTTTGATGTTTTTTTTAAATTATTAAGAGTTCTTACTTTTTATGAAGTTACAACTGAAACTAATGGTAATTAATGTTGGCATACTCCACGTTTTGCTTCTTAAATCTAAAAGAACTAATTTGAGGTTACAAGTCAACCTGATGGCTAGCAATTTCACATGTAATTTATCATCTAATATCAGAAAGAAGTCAACAGACGTTGTAATGACAATTGTAAATGTGACAACTGTAAATGCTAAGATGATGAATATGTTTTTAACAAATGGAATACGTTGCCATACTTTGGTGATGTCTGAGTAACTAAATATCAGATACTAGATAGAGCTCTTTCTTGTAAGAGGGTAACAACCGATTGTAGAAATTGTAATGAAGTTGGAATTTCTGAAGGTGGAATAGGAGTTCATGAGCTTTCAATTTAGACACTGTTATATCATTTATGTTGTGTCACATTACCATCCAGAAAGAGTTCTTTCATGTCATGCATTATAACTGTAACTCTAAATAAGAAGTATAGAAGACGGATTTTGAAATGTTTACAGTTGTCGTTTTCTACATTGAAAACAAACCGTGTAAAAGAAAACGCAATTGTGCTTTTTGCAACACCTCGTGTTTTAAAATTGATGCAAGTGTTTCATCAGTCAAATGAAGTGACTGCTCCCTCTCTGTGGTTTCTACTCTTACTGTGAGGAAAAGGCCCACTTGACACTTTTCTGCCTTTATGGTTCCGCATTTGTGGCACTTTGCAATTCTTGAGCATGTAGTTTGCGGAATCTTTTTTGTGCATTTCGGACATCTGTGAAACTCGTCACACTTTGTGATGGCAGTAATCTCTGATCACGACGGTTTTCTTTGATGATTTCTTGGTTTGGACTTTTTCTTTGTTGTTTGCTTTAATTTGGGTCTTCAATGTTGTTGAAAGCTTCTTTCGTCAGGACCAGACGTGCACTACCAAACAACTCATTTGGTACGAGTGTCCTTTGATTACATCATTGATGTGTGTTTCCGACAGATCAATCAGTATTGTTCCAGTCTGGTTGACGATTGTGGCAGTTGCAAAATTGAGCTGGTTTTTACCAAATTTGGTCAGTTCTGTGATATTTGCAACCTTCCCACGAATGGCTACTTTGTCCCACTAGTTCTTGCTCTTGAGGATTTCCAGGACAGACTACAGGTCTTCTTCTGCTGTTCTGATTTCCAAATACTGAGACGTGTATTCGGAAGGTTGTGGTACCGAGACATATGTGATGTCTTCAACTGAATTTTCTCTCCATTTGCAGTAAACATGAAATCTGTAAGCTTAATCGGTGTCCAATTTGTTTGGCTTTGGGAAAACAGCTGCCATTTGTGTTTTGAGTAAATGAGAGCTTCTTTCGTTTCCTTTGCTGAGGTTTGCAGTGTAAAAGTTGCGTAATCCATAGTGTTCTTGTTCCTCTTCTCGGGAGAAAGGTGATGGACATAACCTATAATGCTACTGGTAGCTGGTCGTTTTAAACTCTTGTTAGACATTTTCTCTGCTTAAAACTTTAAGACTCAAATGGGAACACACGTTGTCAAAGAAATTATCAACTGCTTGCTTGTGAAAATGTCAGTAAACCACGTGTATTGTTTTTGATTTGTGCGAATGCTTTGATGTCATGTCATGCATTCTTCACAAGAAGGTGACGTGCATGAAAACCCGCTTTTTACTCTCCACAATCTGATATTGCAGAAATACGTCTAACAGAGATACAAATTTGACAAAAACAAAAGATGGTGAACATTGCAAGTCCAAAAGTAATGCTTCCTTTCAAGGACAATGCTTGACATAAATCCACCATTTTATAACCATGTGCATGCTCCCTAATCATGTGCATGCACAGAGACAAGAAGACGCATGTGCATTTTAGGGCTCAGACAACAATGTTTAACCTTGGGCTCCCTTTGGGAAACCCAAGTAATTATGAAAGTGCCCTCGTGAATGGTGGTAGCTGCCAGTTTTACCCCATGGCGAGTTTGCCCCCACCGAGTTTGCCCTCACATCGACTCAACTTGATTGAGTTCGCCCCCAACCAGATCGAGTTGTATATAGAGATTATTCCTCGTTCTTTTATCCACTGCCCTATTAGATAACTGGTAGTGAGGAAACTTCGCTTGGTGGCGAGGTGACTTTGCTTGGTGAGTTCAATGGTGGTGAGATGACCGGTAACCGTTGGACCTTGTTGCTATGTGTGTGCCAGCTGCAACAAGCGAACAATCATCATCTAAGCTTGTCAAACATACATAGACTGAAATGCTTCAAAAACGTTTAATAACTTGATAACAACTACATAAATGCTAAAAGTTGGGGGTGAACTCGAAATAGGAATTTTGTAGTGGAGGCAAACTCGGTGGGGGCAAACTCGCCATGGGGTGAAACTGCTATCATTCTGCAAGCACATCTGTGTGTGGCAATTAGATGATGATGATGATGCTTGTTTATGGATTTACAGTGTATTTAACATGAAACAACATCCCGATATCTGCTCTTCATGATGAGTTGTAGTTTGCCATATCTCTGGGAATTTTTCATGGTATCCACACGTTCTCCATCCTTGAATCCTCCAATGACCAGTTATGTGTCCTTGGGAAGCCTTCCTTTGCAAAGACTGCACAAAGATGTTGTTATTACCTCTTGAGTCTGTTGTGGTTGACTGGCAGACAGACCGGTATTTCCTGGACAGGACTTGGGTTTCCCTAAATGAATGAAAATCGTCTCCGCTCAGTTGAGCAATTCTGTAAAGCCTTTCGGAGGAGATGTGACAAGACAATGGTTTTGGGTATGTATCTAAGTCACGTGCTTGGGGAGGAGTGATAAATGTGTTTTGCAAAGTTGTATGTGAATTGTGGTCAGGTAGTAGTGTATGTTTGTGTGATGTATTGGTGTGTTTACCAGTGCTGTGGTTGAATGCTTATGTGTTCTGAGTTGGTGAAAATGAATGTGATGTGATGGTGTGTGTGCATGAACTGTGGTTGAGTAATGGTGTGTTATGAGTTGTTGAATATGTATGTGATGTAATGGTGTGTGTGCATGAACTGCAGTTGAGCAATGGTGTGGTCTGAGTTGGTGAATATGTATGTGATGTAGTCGTGTGTATACGTGAACTGCGGTTGAGTAATGGTGTGGTCTGTGTTGGTGAATATACATGTGATGTGATGGTGTTTGTTCTTGAACTGTGGTTGACTAGAAGTGTGGTCTGAGATTGAGATGTTATGGTGCTAATGTGTTTGGCTATGCTGTGGATGTTAGGTGTTGTGGTTTTTGTTACCGTAACAGCAACATGGTGAATTGCTGGCTCCTCGCTGTTGGATATCTTAACCAGTTCTGGTTTGCATGGACAATGAAGGATTTTTCAGTGATTGTTCTTGTTATTTGTGTTTCCAGGGGCATTTTGATATATAATTTGTTGCAATAAGTATTCCAATAAAGGGAATTTCAAAACATTCATATTTGTCAGAGTTTTTCAAAAGGTTTAAATTTTAGTATCAAAAGACTCCATGGCGGCAAGTTAATTAAATCAGACTTGAAGGTAGGCAAATTAAAAACTTAACATGGCTCCTTGTGCAACCTCTGGGGCATGGGACATTTTGAATTCTAAAACAATCTTGGGTGCAAAATTATTAGCCTGTTCAAGGATCTCAGTGGAAGGGGAGGGGGGCGAGCATGCTGATGCATATTGCATGTGGCTCTCTACTAATTAACTGAACTTCTGGCACAGGGTAGACCACAATTGGTGTTGAAATGCTCCACGTTAGGGTCCTATTAGGCTATCTTACTCTTGTCCTACCAAACTAGATTGTAATAATGTTCCCTGCAATTTTACATTGAAAAGAAAAACTTACACCTGACATTTATTAAATGAGAGTTGTGCTGTTTAAAGTTAAAGATTATTGAGAAGAACATTAAAATGCAACTTCACACACCTCAATTTTTAAGCAGTTGCAAAACATCACAAAATACTCTCTTCCACCTCATTGCTTTTTGTCCAGTGGTGAAGTAAGCCAACAGTTGGTCATTGCGATCAACACCACCCATGTATTTGTTGTACCCACTGATGGGCTCAGGCTTATGGGGCAAGTCATCTCCAACAGCATTGCCATGGATTGTGGACAGTGCATACACATCTCTTTTGTCTTTCCAGTACACTGCAGTCATTTAGCCCTTTGTCATATTGACTTTGTGGAATAGGGAGTCATTCAGGTCAACATCCCCCTTTATTGCTACAGGAACACCCTTTCTCTTACCAAGCCGGGTGTTCCAGCGTCCAAGAGTTCTTGAATAGCTGGGGAGAGGTGTAAAAGTTGTCAACATAAAGCTGATGACCAAGTCCTTGATAATCTTCGATAAGATCATTGACAACTCTGCTTGCCAAGCCTTTCTCCACAGCATTTCCCTCCTTGCCAATGTAGATTTGTAGCCTACAGTAGTACCCTGTCCCTGCATCTGCCATAACCCACACCTTTATACCCCACTTGGTTGGTTTCATGGGCATGTATTGGCAGAAGCCTCATCTGCTCTTTATACCAATAATTTGCTCATCAATTGAGACTTCACACCTAAGGTTGTAGTGCTCCTTGCACTGCCTCACAATGTGGTCCAACAGTGGTCTCAGTTTGAAAAGTTTGTCATTTCCAGTGTTGCTTCGATTGTAATTAACATGAAGGTAGTAGAGAATTTGCAGAAATCTATCCCTACTCATTTTGGAAGGGAACCAAGGATGAGAAAGTATGGGGTCTGTAGACCAAATGTCGTTGATATATGAGCAATTTATAATCCCCATAGCAATATTCAAAGATAAGGCCATTTCCCCAAGCATAACATTTTGATTTGTATACCTGTTTGTCTCAGTGCAGAAACGGTGTATTGCATTTTCATCAATAAACAGATTGAAGTATTCTTTTGTTGAATTAACAGTATTAGCTTGCCTTGATGGTTAAATGTCTCCAAGAAAAGCTTTCCTTTCATTTGGATTTTGCTCCTCACCATGAAAACTTCTCCAGTTAAAGTTAGCTGGAACTGGTGGAGCTGGTCTTGGTAGCCTTGCTGGAGCTGGAGCTGGCCTTGCAGGAACCGCAAAATTCCTTCATGAGGCTGAGGAAGCTGCTTGAACATTTACAACAGTATGTGTGTTGCTTTCACTGACAAATTGGTAAGGTACATCAGAAGCTGAGGAGCCTGAATCATCCTGAAAGCAAAATTAACACGATGATATTTTTCCCAGGAAAATGCGACACGTTATTTTCAACGTTAACAACAATTCAGTCTCTAATAATATTGTATGAATAAAAACTAGACAAATGTGGTAGTAAATGGGACTAAAGACTCTGGATGCTCCCTGGGATAGCAGCGAGAGTGGGTGGTAGCAACACATCCTGGACAGGTAATTAGGTGGTTGGCGAACACACCCTGCGAGCTAAGTGGGCCAGTTAGCATACACGACCCCCAAACCACAAACAAAGTGGGGCAGTTAGCGGACACAAACCCCAAAGCAGAAACTCAGGCTGTTGGTGGACGCACCCAGAGATAATGAATGAGGGCAGAAAACCCTTAGGCTGTTAGCAGACACACCAAGTGAATAAATTGGGGTGATAGCACACTCACCCAGAGAAGGAAGCCCCCCCCAACCTAGCTACTTAGGTAGCTAAAAATAAGGTGGGGTAAGGGACCCACCCAGCCTGATGCAGGCAATAGCTAAGTGGAAGGTGTGCACCCAGGCCAGTAGTCCAAATTTATTAATAAGGAGGGTAGAGGAGGGAAAGGAAACACTGTACACTAGCAAAGAAAAAATATGTGACGTGCCTAGCATGCTACTAGTACAAAGACTGGTGTAACATAATATGTTCATGAGTACTGTTTGTTGAGACCAAATATGCAACAGATGGTAAAACTGATAGCGTCATAAGGATACAGTAGTAATAGATAGGAATAACTATATTGACACGAGCCTTAAGAGCAACTCTCTATAGGGACTGAGTGAGATTGAAAAAATGTGGCACAGGGTTGGAAAAATGGACCCCTTGGTATTCCTAAGAATCGTGATATAAGTCTTAGGTTTTAGAGTTTTTACATTTTTGAGAAAATTACGAAAAACCGTCGACAACCTGTGAAGCCAAAAAATCAGAGAAATGAGATCAAAATTTCATCATCAGATAATCGAACTCGTGTGAAGGCGCATAACAAATAATGGTTTTCCTTAGTTTGTAATTCTATTTAGGAGGTATTGCTAAGCTGCCTTAATGATATTTTAGACTTACAATTGTAATTCTGAATTCCTGGAGAACAAGCGAAGAGAACCAAAATTTCTAGACTTTGAAAATCAAAAATTCCATACCAATTTCAAACATCTCAAAACATACTGGGTATTATGTAGAATTCTTTGAAAATTCAATTCTAGCAAGTACAAGAGCTGTTTTTGAACGTGATATAATTTTTTTCTTGGCAAAAGTTATTTCTGAGGCGAGTGGCCCCATGCAAGTNATTTTCATTATAGCACCACTTTAACATTTCTTTCATCCACCCATCCTTTGTTGAGACTGGATTTGCTATTTGATTCTTGGATATAGTGATATAGTTATATTGAGTTTATTTAGATTTCCTTGTTTTGTTCCATTTATTCAGTTTACTCAAATACCTATTGGTGACTCAATATATGCAAGGTAAGCATAAACCAGCTTTTGACTATAAACAAGACACATATCTGCGTGAACTTGTGCTTGTTTCCTGGCATATCCAGCTGTGAATGCCAGAATTTTGACATGATGAAATCTCAGTTGTCTTTTGTTGATTGTTTTACAGCTGTAGCATAGTACAAGCAAGTAAGCATTGTATATCCCTGGTCTAAATTTTACCCTCTGTCCATTGTTTACCCCTGGTCTGTAGTCTGCATTTTACATTGACCAATTAAGTAATAAATATTAGAAAGTAATAAAGGTTCTGACAGTAAAATCCGAATTTTCAATCTATTTGATTGCATTTGTGTCCATCTATCTGGCCAAAAGGATAGCAAAGTGGTTAGGGATATCTTGTGTTGGCTTCATTCCCTCTTGCAAAGGGTTTTGTGTTTTGAAGAAATGGGAATTCTGATGGAAATTGGTGTTTTGTGGGAATTCGTTTTTGTCAAGGTTTTTGAATAAAGAACAATGTTTATTAAACAAATACTGATAAATTCTGCGCTATGTTAAATTGAATTGTTGTTTTTCTTTGTGAATGTCAAAAAATAATTGTCTTTTCAAAGTATATGATAAAAAGTGATATCCCAATATTTTGATGTTTTTTTTAAATTATTAAGAGTTCTTACTTTTTATGAAGTTACAACTGAAACTAATGGTAATTAATGTTGGCATACTCCACGTTTTGCTTCTTAAATCTAAAAGAACTAATTTGAGGTTACAAGTCAACCTGATGGCTAGCAATTTCACATGTAATTTATCATCTAATATCAGAAAGAAGTCAACAGACGTTGTAATGACAATTGTAAATGTGACAACTGTAAATGCTAAGATGATGAATATGTTTTTAACAAATGGAATACGTTGCCATACTTTGGTGATGTCTGAGTAACTAAATATCAGATACTAGATAGAGCTCTTTCTTGTAAGAGGGTAACAACCGATTGTAGAAATTGTAATGAAGTTGGAATTTCTGAAGGTGGAATAGGAGTTCATGAGCTTTCAATTTAGACACTGTTATATCATTTATGTTGTGTCACATTACCATCCAGAAAGAGTTCTTTCATGTCATGCATTATAACTGTAACTCTAAATAAGAAGTATAGAAGACGGATTTTGAAATGTTTACAGTTGTCGTTTTCTACATTGAAAACAAACCGTGTAAAAGAAAACGCAATTGTGCTTTTTGCAACACCTCGTGTTTTAAAATTGATGCAAGTGTTTCATCAGTCAAATGAAGTGACTGCTCCCTCTCTGTGGTTTCTACTCTTACTGTGAGGAAAAGGCCCACTTGACACTTTTCTGCCTTTATGGTTCCGCATTTGTGGCACTTTGCAATTCTTGAGCATGTAGTTTGCGGAATCTTTTTTGTGCATTTCGGACATCTGTGAAACTCGTCACACTTTGTGATGGCAGTAATCTCTGATCACGACGGTTTTCTTTGATGATTTCTTGGTTTGGACTTTTTCTTTGTTGTTTGCTTTAATTTGGGTCTTCAATGTTGTTGAAAGCTTCTTTCGTCAGGACCAGACGTGCACTACCAAACAACTCATTTGGTACGAGTGTCCTTTGATTACATCATTGATGTGTGTTTCCGACAGATCAATCAGTATTGTTCCAGTCTGGTTGACGATTGTGGCAGTTGCAAAATTGAGCTGGTTTTTACCAAATTTGGTCAGTTCTGTGATATTTGCAACCTTCCCACGAATGGCTACTTTGTCCCACTAGTTCTTGCTCTTGAGGATTTCCAGGACAGACTACAGGTCTTCTTCTGCTGTTCTGATTTCCAAATACTGAGACGTGTATTCGGAAGGTTGTGGTACCGAGACATATGTGATGTCTTCAACTGAATTTTCTCTCCATTTGCAGTAAACATGAAATCTGTAAGCTTAATCGGTGTCCAATTTGTTTGGCTTTGGGAAAACAGCTGCCATTTGTGTTTTGAGTAAATGAGAGCTTCTTTCGTTTCCTTTGCTGAGGTTTGCAGTGTAAAAGTTGCGTAATCCATAGTGTTCTTCTTGTTCCTCTTCTCGGGAGAAAGGTGATGGACATAACCTATAATGCTACTGGTAGCTGGTCGTTTTAAACTCTTGTTAGACATTTTCTCTGCTTAAAACTTTAAGACTCAAATGGGAACACACGTTGTCAAAGAAATTATCAACTGCTTGCTTGTGAAAATGTCAGTAAACCACGTGTATTGTTTTTGATTTGTGCGAATGCTTTGATGTCATGTCATGCATTCTTCACAAGAAGGTGACGTGCATGAAAACCCGCTTTTTACTCTCCACAATCTGATATTGCAGAAATACGTCTAACAGAGATACAAATTTGACAAAAACAAAAGATGGTGAACATTGCAAGTCCAAAAGTAATGCTTCCTTTCAAGGACAATGCTTGACATAAATCCACCATTTTATAACCATGTGCATGCTCCCTAATCATGTGCATGCACAGAGACAAGAAGACGCATGTGCATTTTAGGGCTCAGACAACAATGTTTAACCTTGGGCTCCCTTTGGGAAACCCAAGTAATTATGAAAGTGCCCTCGTGAATGGTGGTAGCTGCCAGTTTTACCCCATGGCGAGTTTGCCCCCACCGAGTTTGCCCTCACATCGACTCAACTTGATTGAGTTCGCCCCCAACCAGATCGAGTTGTATATAGAGATTATTCCTCGTTCTTTTATCCACTGCCCTATTAGATAACTGGTAGTGAGGAAACTTCGCTTGGTGGCGAGGTGACTTTGCTTGGTGAGTTCAATGGTGGTGAGATGACCGGTAACCGTTGGACCTTGTTGCTATGTGTGTGCCAGCTGCAACAAGCGAACAATCATCATCTAAGCTTGTCAAACATACATAGACTGAAATGCTTCAAAAACGTTTAATAACTTGATAACAACTACATAAATGCTAAAAGTTGGGGGTGAACTCGAAATAGGAATTTTGTAGTGGAGGCAAACTCGGTGGGGGCAAACTCGCCATGGGGTGAAACTGCTATCATTCTGCAAGCACATCTGTGTGTGGCAATTAGATGATGATGATGATGCTTGTTTATGGATTTACAGTGTATTTAACATGAAACAACATCCCGATATCTGCTCTTCATGATGAGTTGTAGTTTGCCATATCTCTGGGAATTTTTCATGGTATCCACACGTTCTCCATCCTTGAATCCTCCAATGACCAGTTATGTGTCCTTGGGAAGCCTTCCTTTGCAAAGACTGCACAAAGATGTTGTTATTACCTCTTGAGTCTGTTGTGGTTGACTGGCAGACAGACCGGTATTTCCTGGACAGGACTTGGGTTTCCCTAAATGAATGAAAATCGTCTCCGCTCAGTTGAGCAATTCTGTAAAGCCTTTCGGAGGAGATGTGACAAGACAATGGTTTTGGGTATGTATCTAAGTCACGTGCTTGGGGAGGAGTGATAAATGTGTTTTGCAAAGT